ACCCCCTTTCAAAGTTCAAATTTTCATTAAGGGAATAGTCTGGGCAAAGGTCTACATTATAGTGCTGTAAAAGGGGATATTTATCATTATAAAGTTGACTCAAAAGAAAGTTACTGTATATTTGACTGAGAACGAATTGTCAAATCATTTTGTTGAGACCGTCTTGGATGATGACTTTGTGATAGGCCATTGAACCTCCTACATCTAAAGATGATTAGATGTGCATTATGGAAATGAACGTTCATGGCCCCTGTCTGACAACCTAGATTGCTGACCCAGAAACAATTCATATTCAATCATTCCATTTAATCAGCGGCATAGTAAAAATGTGTTCAGTGGGGTGGGGGGGGGGGGGGGGGAACAAGGAGGTCACCATCTTCTGTGGGGAGGGGAAATGGCACTGGATTATTTTTTTTTAAATTGAGTGCATGAACATCTTATACTTACATCTAGTTTTCTGTGATGGAGCTCAGCGACTGAGCAAAATCTAAACGGCATTTTGAAAAAAATATCATAATTTGCCATTTTGATGCATAAATTGCTACTATGCATACAGTAATCATGTTATGTTTATTTCATATTTGTCAACTTTTTGTGGGGGTGGGAGGGGGACACCTAGGAGTATGAGAATTTGGAGCAGGGTACGTTCCCCGAGGGTATGATGCCTTTAATATACAGAGAACATTCAGAGACTGTTTCCATTGCTGCATAACCCTACCAGTGATGATAGGAGATAATTCAAAGTTAGGATAGCTCCACTGCAAGCAATGGCAACAGCCCTATTATGATTAACCTAAATATTGACCCAGAAACTATTTGTATTCAATCATCCCATTTGATCTATAGAGAACATACATAGATTATTCTTAGGCCCTACTGCTTGCTGTGATATATATGTTGGAAAATGTTGTTGGCTACTTCATGTAAATCTATAACACGGAGCTCATCTTCCCCAAAATCTGTAACGGGTTCAATTAAGCAATTTGCTTTCTGATTCTGAAATGCTACAAACAGAGAAATTTAAAATAAAAGTGGAAACTTTATTCCAAACCATATCTCTTGAAAGTCTCATGAAATCTTTTTTTGTGACATACATTTGTCAATATACATTTATCTGATGGTAAAGTTGAGTTCTTTATTTCCATGCTCATGCATTATTACAACCCAAAGTTTCCCCATTTGAAAACAAAAAGCTGTAAAATGCAAACTATTCTCTGTATGCATTTGCATGAGATTTGGTGTGTGTATGTTGAATAGGGGTTTGCGCTGCTGTTGAGCAATGTTGTCAAAGACTTGGGGTGTGAAGCTGGGAATGGGAACAGTGTCATTAGAGTTAGCCATCTGTCTGACACCATTTCTTACTGCGATTGACCTGTTAATTACCCTTTAATTAGCAGTCTGATTAGAGAACTGCTTACCTAATACACATAGGGCATGTATTGCTAGACTGACTGATCATGTGATTTAAACTTTGTATCTTAGGTAACAATGAGAACTCCTTTTTCAGGTTTGATTATGTTCAAATAATTGCACAATTATAAAGAGAGAGGAAGATAGAGAGAGAAATAAAGAGAGAGAAAGACAGAGGGGGTTAGGGTTAGATATAGACATTAACTGGTAATCAAAGATAGAGAGGGATAGAGAAATGAGGAAAAGGGCAGAGAGAGAGAGAGAGAGAGAACCTGAAGAGAGACATGAAGAGAGAGCATGAGAGAAAAACAAGAAGAGTGTTAAAAGAAGAGAGAGAGATAGGGAAAGAGAAAGAGGTATACTGAAAAACCCTATAGAGAGGGGAAGGGGGATGTAAGAAATTGAAGACAAAAAGTGGGAGGGGCAGAGTGATATAGATAGGTTAGGAAACCGACTAATAAGTAAAAGTACAGATAAAGGGGCATCAAGAAAATGAAATAGAAGATAATGGGAATTTGATGGCACAGAGAGAAAGAGAGAGAGAGAGGGAGAAAGAGAGAGAGAGAGAGAGAGAGATAGAATACATTTCCATCTACATTAGATAAAGAATTCTGCAGACATGGAGTTAAAATGCAATCCGTCATGCTGTGCACACTGATGACTCTAGCTCTAACCCGCTATTAAATGAATCCATGCATCATCGAGCATTGTATGTGAAGACATGAAAAGGTTTCTCCAGATGTCACTTTATCCCTTTCTTGTTTTGCCACGGAGGTGAACGTTCGAGACATCCTACTCTTTTCTCGGAAAGCGGTCCATGATTCATACCTGCTCCCCAAGCCGTCACTGATGAACATTGTTCCCACATCTCAATGCTGTTTACAATCGCAGATAAATTAGGCTGTGTTCATACTTACTCTAACCACTTCAGTGGTTAGAGTGGTGATTTTGAAAATGAGGTCTGAGGTTCCAAACCAGAAGTTGTTAATCTCGGGCAGTTTATGGACGAGGAATTTCTTACCCACAAATAGCCTTGTGTAAATTAATACAGGATTTTCAGTCATTTATGAATATCATGTTTTGTAGGGAGATTTTGTCAGACATTTAATGAAAAAAATGTGTTAATAAGTGTGAATGAACTCTTGCCTCTAAAATAAGGCACATCGTTTGTATTTTTCAGATTCTATGAGAATTCAGGCAAGAGTTAATTACTTCCGGTATGTACACTGTATGCGGTAGTATCACACCTTTCAATTTGAATGAGGTGTCGGTAGGGCATGTGATATTTTTTTCCCCCACAATTTCTAGCTTTAAACATCTAAATTTTGTGAGTGTTAAAAAGGCATATGTAGAAAAAGTGATTTAAATGATTGCCCAATATAGCAACAATACTAGTTTTGATATGTTGGACAAGCTGTAGGCATTTTTTTAGAGGAAAATGTGATTTTATCCAAATTTGTACATCTTGACATCATGTCCTTTTTAGCTGTAAAGTAAAGCAAAAGTAGAAGATGCCTTTTTGTTTATGAAAACTAGGGGACTGTCAAAGAAAACTAGTATTGAATTTGTAATTAATTTTTTTAAAGCTAATGCATCAAACATTTAAGTATGAGCTAGGCATCTGTAGAAGATATGAAGTCATCATCATTGTTATTTCATGGCTGTCAACATCAGCTATGGAACTGAAGACTAATCAAATCCTTTCTAAGATAAGCAAATCCTCTCACCATCTGCCCTATACTCTGACTGTAAAGAGAAGGTTGAGTTCTGGGAAGAGGTGAAAAATAATTTGTGAGCGTTATCATTGTTATTATGCAAGTGTGGAAGAACATCAGATAAAACATGCTCCCTGAAAAGCATGGCTCTTCAAATGCCTTCATATTCTAAATATGGCATGTAACATTGTAAAAATTGGGACAGATTTTACGCCACATGTTCGTGTAGTCCCATATACATCTCTGTGTACAATGCTTGTAACTTTACCAAGACCAAATTTCTTATCATTTTGATGATTCCAGAACCTTACAATACACACAAATACTTATATGCTAGATGATCAACTCCACCCCATTTCTTTCACAATGCAATCGCATGACCAGAATTCAAATTTATCTTTAGAACACTTGCATCGTTATAAACTTGAAGACCTTCTAAGTGTGAATGCACCCTCCTTAATGTAACGCTCTTGACATTTAATCTGTCTGATTGATCCCAGCCAGGTGTGTGAACCCCAATGCTATGTCGTATCATGAGGCCTTGCCAGAGGTAGCACACTATAATCTCCAAAACATGGTTGGCTGCCAATCCCTTTAGGTACTCGAGAGCCAAAAGGCCATTGATTGTTTGTAAATGTGTGTAAGTTAATGCCTTTTTGGATCTAAGCAGATGGTTTAATCACAGACAAAGTCCTGTTCAACCTTTCAATCTCTTTAAGTAGGTGTACATTTGTTTGATCATAGACAAAGTCCTATTTAACATTTCAACCTCTTTATATCTATGTATGATTTGTTGTTGTGAGCAAGAAGGGAATTAACATTATGTAAAAGTATATAAGTTCAAGCTGTTCTAGCCCATAGCAGAGAATTGAATCACAGACAAAGTCCTATTAAACCTTTCAAACTCTTTATTTAGATTCATGTGGATTTGCGTGTTGTTGTTGTAAGCAAGAAGGGCTTAACATTGTAAAAGTATATGAGTTGGAGTTGTTCTGGCTCATCGCAGAGGATTTAATCACAGACAAAGTCCTATTAAACCATTTCAACCTCTTTTTTTAGATTTATGTAGATTTGTGTTTTAGTGTTAAAGCAAGAAGGGCATTAACATTACGAAAAGTATATAAGTTAGAGTTGTTCTGGCTCATCGCAGAGGATTTAATCACAGACAAAGTCCTATTAAACCTTTCAAACTCTTTATTTACATTTATGTACATGTAGATTTGTGTTTTGGTGTTGTAAGTAAGAAGGGAAATAACATTATGTAAAAGTATATAAGTTTGAGCTGTTCTGGCTCATTGCAGAGGATTTAATCACTAGCAGGGTCTTGTCAACCCTTTCGATCTACACGTACCTGTAGATGCATGGTGTATCAGTTGAGAGCCAGGAGGGTGCTAATGCTATGCTCTCAGCAGATAGCTCAATCACAGAAAAGGTCATATGAACCCTTTCAAAACTACACTTAAAGATGGTGTATCTCTTCTCTATGCGTCAAATATAAAAGTTGTATTTAAACACAGTGGGAAGGTTTCAGGAGAAAATAATGTTTAAGAACTCCCCTCAGGGAATGGGATCTGAATTTTTTAAAATATTTTTTTTTTAAACATTATTTTATGAAAAAATGCATGCAATTAGATTTTGTTTTGCATAGTCATGAAATGGTCGCTTAAAAATAAGTCGTCCACGTTCATAAAAAATTTACTAACATGTTTAGATAACTTCAGTTCTGTCACCTGGCATCATTTATACTTCTGTATACATGTATAATATATAATGATTAAAAAAAAACACTTTGAATGGACTGTAAATGTTTCATTTCTATTTGAAGACTATTAATTTTATATATCTTTTGTCTTTTTTCATTTTATCATCATTTAGATCTACCTGAGTGTAATGTGGCATGATGGGACATTGGGCGTCGCTTACTACAGCACGGAGACAGCTGAGATCTATATCATGAATGATACCATGGAGACAAACAACTATTCACTGCTCAAGAAAGGTGTGTACATATACAAACATCAGATTCGTTTTTCAAGGGCTATTTAAACTAGACAAAGCTTTTGTTTCCAGGCATTAGAGCCCATTGACGGAAATTAGTTTCTCCTTGAAATATGTGTTGTAGTTATCCCTAAGGTAACATCTTTTTTTTGTTCACTGGTGTATAATAATCATGGCATTAATATAAGTTTCTCCATTTTAAATAGGGTGATCATGTTGATTTAGTTTTTCACACATTTTCTAGTACCTATCCTCTTCAAAAGATTCAGTACCTTACCACTTTTTGAATCCAATAATGTGCACTTTTACATTTGACTTTTCTTTTTATCAGTTTTCTAAAATGCCTAGAACATGCCATGATATGTTAATGACATTAGTGATTTTAATATTCCTTTTGCTGTCTCTAGCAAATTTCAAATGATAGCTTTTTTTCGCTAAGATAATGTTTAAAAAAAAAATATTTTAAAAAATTCAGATCCCATTCCCTGAGGGGAGTTCTTAAACATTATTTTCTCCTGAAACCTTCCCACTGTGTTTAAATACAACTTTTATATTTGACGCATAGAGAAGAGATACACCATCTTTAAATTTCAAATGATAGCTTTTTTTCGCTAAGAGGGCAAGCTTCTGGAATCTAGGCAACATGGATATCTTGCAAATGTTTGTGTGATGCTCTTGTTTTCACTAGGTATAAACATGTTGAATTAGGCAAACACACCTGGGTGTAATTCAATTAGCTTATCCCTTTGTCTCGAGGAAAAGCCTCCATTATGTCTTCTTCCTCTCCTCAAACACAAGCTGCTATGATGAGGATGTCCTCTTGGAATGTCTTGAGGCTTCCTCAAACCTTAAAGAGAAGATTGAGTTCTGGAAAGAGGTGTAAATTAATTTGTGAGTGTTATCATTCTTATTATGCAAGTGTGGAAGAACATCAGATAAGACATGTTCCCTGAAAAGCATGGCTCTTCAAATGTCTTCATATTCTAAATATGTCATGTAACATTGTAAAAATCCAGGGTAGGATTTTTACGCCACGTGTTCATGTAGTCCCATATACATCTTTCTGTGCAGGGTGTTTGTAACTTTACTAAGACTTGGCCAAATTTCTTATCATTTTGATGATTCCAGTCACACAAATTCTTATATGCTAGGTGATCAACCTTTTCTGGTCGATTCCACACCGTTTCTTTCACAATGTAATCGCATGACCAGAACTCAACTTCACCTTTAAAGAGAATGTTAGGTTCTGCTAAAAAGAAGAACAATAATTTGTGTACTTCTCATTCTATTTTCATCAGTTTGTGAGAGTAACATCTACTGAAAATATTCCATGAAATGAATTAGTCTTCAAATCAGTTTTAAAAATTTGATGAGAAATAGCATGAACATGTGGCATAAAAATCTGTCTTGATTTTTATGCTGTTACATGCCATATTTAGAATATTAAGGCATTTGAAGAGCCATGCTTTTCAGGGAACAATTGTTATCATGTGTTCTTCAACACTTGCATAATAACAATGATAACGCTCAAAATTTTTCACCTCTTCCCAGAACTCAACCTTCTCTTTAACCTCAAGCCTTCATGGTCTGTTGAGACCTTGTTGTGTAAATACATAAATGATGTTTATGTGGGAACAGTGTAATTAAGGGTTATTGATTGGACATCCAGTCTCATGATTTCATTTTTGTGAAGAACCAAACACCAGACAGAGTCAAAAGGAATGTGGTATGAGAAGTAGAGGTGCAAGGCAGTAATAAAGATGGGGAAAGAAATAAAAGGATGAGGATAAGGGAGTGAGGAGTAAAAAGATATGAATTCCAAAGAAATAAAGGAGCAAGAGGGAAAATAGGCAGAAAGATGAAGGGTTGAAGATAAAAAATCATATATGTTACATATTTATTCAAATATATTTATACAGGATACACAAGATCAGAATGTTCCTGCTTTTCGTCTTGGTCCTGATATTAAAAACATAAAAGTAATAATGGTAAATACTATTTACAGTCAATATAATAACAAAAAAAAGAACAAAATTGAATTGAGACAATGCATGATGAATAAAATAAATCAAGAATGTAAATTATAAACATAAATTGAAATCAAAACATTATTTCTATGGATAAAAATGCACATAATTCTACACTCATACATGTGCGTGTAAAAGTCTAATATGCCTAAACAAGCCAATCGATACGGTACATGCCAGAGGACAATTTGTGGCTTTGTTATGGAGGTATTGTGGCATTCAGTCTTAATTAAAACTACCCCTTTTTGTCAACTAAAAAGAGCATGAGCCAGGAATTCAACAATTACAGGACAAACATAAGAGGGGGAAAAGAACCTCTAAAGAGTGCAGATGACACCTATTATTCCTTTTTCTTGTTACATGCTAATTGGAAAGGGGGAAACGTATTGACAGTTTGATCCTGTATGGGGTAAAAAGGTATTTCCTGCGTTTTGGAGATTAAGTGTCCCGATAGTGAAACCATTTGTTTGGTGAGAGTTTGTTAAAATCTGTACTTTACAAAGTGTCAGTGTTTTATTTTTGTATGTCTCCATGCACCAAAGGTGGTGCAGGGGGCATTTATGTTTTCAGGTTGTCCTTCCGTCCGTCCATATGTCCCGCTTTCTCGTTAACGCTATATCTGAAGAACCTCATGAGGTATGAACTTCACACTTGGTGACAGTGTGTATCATCATAGGAATACGATCTGATTATATTTTAGAGTAAGTAGTTCAAAGTTCAAAGGTCATTGAGGTCAATATGACAAATTACAGGTATAAGCCTCGTTATAGCAATGTCTCAAGAACCAAATTTTGAACCTTAAAAAAAAAAACACCTCCGAAATATTGTGTATTAAACAAGGTGTGGTTAGTTTGTGAAGAAGTGGCAACCAACTAAAAAACTAAGCAGGATTTTAACTCTGTCCCTCTGCTTAATAGTAAGTTAATCTTATTATTAATACAAAAATACCAAAGGAAACCAGTCTGTAAAGAGCTATTAACTCTGTGTAAGAATAAAGAGCTACATGTATATTGCTCTCTGACTCTTAAAGACCTTAAGACTTTAAGACCTTTCTCCTCTCGTCAATTACATCTCATCTCGTCGATTACATCTCATCAATTTCATGTCATTCCTCCTACCACCAAGGACCTCCCAGTGCAAGCATGCGCAACATATAGATGATATCATTCCTATTCCCAGCCCAAGATGTAATAGTAAGATGAGACGGTCTGTTGAGAACCAGAAGGGCAAATGAAATAATGGTATCTTACACAGTAGGCCTGTCTTCACTATCTCGAGATTGCCATATATCCAGCTATTTGAACTATCCCGATCGCAAACTATCCAGCTAATTTGCGTCTTCATCAGATCGAAGTAGCAATTAGCGGGATATTTGGTCGGGATTGTCATCCCAAGATATCTTGGGATAGTTTGCAAAATATCCAGGTATTTGTCCTGTGCGTCTTCACTAGACCGAAGACTCGCACTATGTGCTAACGCTGAGCAAAATATCTCGAGCTAATTCCTTGAGGTCGAGTCTCAAGTTTCAAGGTCGAATCTCGAGCTGATGGAGACGCGTTTTGTAACTTCGGGATTATTTCCCAAATCAGAAATAGCGGGCTATTTGGCAATCTCGAGATGATGAAGACGCGCCTATTGTATCCTGGCTCTCAGCATATGTGATATAGATACACCCTGCCTGCTATAGAATATCTTGGAAGTATTGAGGATGGTCCATATGTCACGTTGTTAATTGATTTGTCAATTACACTGTAGAACATTATCCTCTTTGAAGTTTTGCCCGCTGCCGTCTCAGAACCGATCAATTCGTCTCTCAGGAATTCCTTCCCTAATAATGCACAGCGCGGTCTTCCAGTGGAGGTGTTCACACATCCTGTCAATGTTACCACTACTTCTTTTCAAATTGAACTCTGTGGAAGGGTGTGTTCACACATCGTATCATTGATACCACTACCGGTACTTCTTTTCATTTGAACTCTGTGGAAGGGTGTGTTCACACATCGTATCATTGGTACCACTACTTCTTTTCATTTGAACTCTGTGGAAGGGTGTGTTCTCACATCGTATCATTGGTACCACTACTTCTTTTCATTTGAACTCTGTGGAAGGGTGTGTTCTCACATCGTATCATTGGTACCACTACTTCTTTTCATTTGAACTCTGTGGAAGGGTGTGTTCTCACATCCTATCATTGGTACCACTACTTCTTTTCATTTGAACTCTGTGGAAGGGTGTGTTCTCACATCGTATCATTGGTACCACTCCTTCTTTTCATTTGAACTCTATGGAAAGGTGTGTTCATGTGTGCTGTCCTAAAGGCTCATCATGTGTAACAGACCGTGTATAGTCAACCCATTTTCTTTTAAATTTATAGGTTTCATCAGAGGAGAAAAATTAAGATTCTTGCAATTACCCTGAGAACAATTGTCATAACTTAATGAATGATTTAAGTTTTTGTACATATTTTATACATCAATTATTTCCCCTACCAAACATTTTTTTCTTCAAATGACCTTGAAAATTGTATCCATACACCAAAGATTACTGGTACTCTAATAATTTTAATCAGAAGTCTGGATATCTAAATATGTTATTTTCTTGGATTTTCAGTTAATTTACACCAACGTTTCTATTTAATATGCTACTCCCCCAAATTTTGTTTGTGTCTTTAAGCTTTTGATTTATGTGAAGCTGTTAAATCTCAGTTCAAATGAGTAAGATAAAGAAATTAATGCAATCGCATCTACACTGACGTACATCAAAGAATAACACACGTGAATGTCGCAATCGGCAAATTATTTACTAGTAACACCAGAACTTGTGACATGCATCCTTTTAACTTCATACTTCCTTTTATATACTCCATTACTTCTAACCACCCCACTTCACAGCTTCCTTTTAGAAGTGGGAAGTAATTCATCATTGCTTCATCTCCAAATATGGAAACATTTATTGTCAATTAAACCATTTATTG